CTTTTACGCCCTGGCCCACCCCATGGATGAAAAGGTGGTAGTCCATCTGGGCCCTCCCCGCCGGCAGGTACTGATGATACAGGGGGCCGGTCCTGGCCCACAGGTCCCGCGCAGCGCCGCACTCCCAGAGCAGGTGCCGCACGGTCTCTGGGCATCCACACCCAGGCCGTGGGCAGGTGGGGTTCTTGGCCATGCCTCTGGAGTGCATAACCGCCCTGACCGGGAGGATCTCATGTGCCACCATCCACAACAGGTCCTTGTGTCCGTTCTGGAGAGCTGGGTGGGCCACGTTTCTCCACACTTGTTGGGCCTCACATAATGTGAGGCCCGGCACCCGACTCACCGTCTCTCGATCCTGAACAAGAGAAATGAGAGCCTTGTGGTTAGTCAAAATGGTGACATCGTTGGTCTCTAAAACATACTTCTTTAAAAATTTCTTTATAAAATCATATTCTTTTGGGAGGTTAAAAGAAACTGGAGTTGTCAAGTCAGGGGTTAAAACTTTTAACGTGCGTAGATACGACCCCATCCAGAACCTTGCCATGGCTGCAGTTTTGTTCTCTCTGGATGGGGTCGTAGCATATTTAAAATGGAGGGCGGTGAAACGGCTCGCTAAGAACAGGTGGGGGTCCGGGAGGCCTTTTCCACCGTTTTCCGGTCTTTTCTTTACAACTTCTCTCTTGATACGTTCCCATTTGGACCCCCACAGGAAGTAAAAGACCGCCCTCTCCAACTCCAGTAAGAACCGTCTCGGTGGGCTAAAAACAGAACAAACAAGTGACATTAAGGGTAAAATCACAGCTTTAAAAATCAAGATTTTGCCCTCAAGTGTCAACCCTCTCAAGCCCCAAAACCCCAGTCTTTGCCTGACTTTCCCTAATATCTCTTTCCAATTTCCCCGACCTCCCCCCTCTCTGTCAAAATTTACTCCTAAAATTTTAAAATGATCGTCGCGTTTAAAAGCTATGTCCAGTTCCCCTGTATTAATGTCGCCCCACGGCCCGAAGAGCTGGGCTTCAGACTTGTTCCTATTTAGTTTTGCCCCTGAGGCCCGACCGAACCAGTCGGTCAGATCCATTGCTCTTCGGGCCGTTAAAAGGTCAGTCGTTAAAAGGGTGACGTCGTCCATATATAAAACACAGGTAGCTGTCAGTCCCCCAGTCCCTGGTAGGTTAAAACCTTTGACCCATTTGTCCCTTCTCAAGATCTGTGCCAGTGGCTCAATACAAGCCACATACAAAAGGGGAGATAAAGGACACCCCTGACGGACTCCGCTGAGTATATTAACAGCTTTGGATAAATGCCCATTTACTAGGATCTTACTGATCAATGAATCATATAATAAGCCCACCCAGGCTATAAACCTCCCTGGAAACCCCATTATTTCCAAAACCTTTAAGAGGAAATGGTGCGAGATGCGGTCAAAAGCTTTTTCAAAGTCTAAATTTAGGACTATAAGCCGAATATCTCTGTCTCTCGCGTAACAGATGGTGTCTCTGATCAGTACCAAGCTGTCCGTGATCTTCCTTCCGGGCACAGCGCAAGCTTGATCCGGGTGAATCACGTCTTCTAAAACGGTCGACATACGCGATGCTAAAATTTTGCTAAAAAGTTTACAATCGAAATTTAAAAGCGTGATTGGTCTCCAGTTTTTTAAGTCAAATTTGTCCCCTTTTTTATGAATTAAACTAACTGTGCCTACTCTAAAGCTTTCTGGGAGTTTGTCCAGTGTTTCAAATTCTTTAAAAACGGTCAACAATTCGTGTGCTAAAATATCCCAAAACTTTATATAAAACTCAAGGGGAAGCCCGTCCATACCGGGGGACTTCCCCTTTTTAAACCCTTTTAAAACTTTGTTTAGTTCTAAAAGTGTAAAATCCTGGGATAAAAGCACTTCGGGCGTTTTAACTTTTTTATCTAAAAAAGTTAAAACCTCCTTTAAAATGTCGCCATCTAAAACTTTTGGACTATATAGGTTACTATAAAATTGTTCGACCTCGGTTAAAATCCCTTTTGTGTCTTTAATTTCCCTCCCTCTTGAATCTTTCAAAGTAGTTATTGACCCTCCCTTTGTTATGATTTTTTTGAAAAAATATCTTGTGCACTTTTCCCCCTCTTCTATTTCTTTTTCTTTACTTCTTAAAATCACCCCAATACTTTTATTTTTTGACAAATCTGACATTTCTTTTTTAACTTCTTTAATTTCTTCTGTAAAATCCCAACCACTGTTTAAAAGATTAAAATATCTTTGCAGTCTCTTCTGCAGCCCCATCATGCATCGCTTTTCCTTCATACTTTTCTGTTTCCCTACTGTTTTAAAAAAATGTGCTGTCCGTTGTTTTATCATTTCCCACCACTGTGCACGTGAATCATAAAAGTCTTGGAGGGTCTGCCATTGGCTAAACTGCTCCCTGTATTTGCTCACTGTCTCCTCATCCTCTAACAGGGAGCAGTTTAGCTTCCACAGCCCTCCACCTACAGACACACCAGGGGGGAGTGAAAATGTGCAGGAAAGCATGTGGTGATCTGAAAAGAAAACAGGGGTCAATCTAGCATCAGATGGTATGATATCTCTAGCAAAAATGTAGTCTATTCGAGAGGCTCTGGTGCAATCACTACTAAACCAAGTGAAGCCCTCCTCTCTTTGATGCAGGGTTTTAAAACAATCAACCAATTTAAAATCTTTTGCTATACCCTGTAATAAAACCGACGTTTTGTCTACTCTAAAATCATCCGTTTTTCCTTTTCGATCTTTGCTAGTTAAAACACAGTTAAAATCTCCTGCGAACACTAGGGGAGCCTTACCTAGCATGTGGGGCTGCAGGTCCTCTAAAAGCTCATGCCGTTCATGTTTGTTGTTAAAACCATACACATTAAGAACATTAAAATCCTGTTCTAAAAAAGCCAAATGTGCTAAAAGTGCCCGCCCATCCCTCACCACTGTGCTGCCCTTCACCAAGATATTTGGGTTTTTGATTAAAATAGCAACACCGTCATTTTTGATAAAATTGGACCCACTCCAAATTGACAAACCTGGGGTCCAAATCTCCTCCCACTTCCTATAATTAGTTAAAAAAGGCAAAGAGCACTCTTGTAATAAAAACACATCTGAGTTAAAACTTTTTAAAAAGGATAAAATGCTCTGTGCTCGTACAATGGCCCTCACACTTCTCACATTAATAGTCGTGATTGTGAGGGCCATGAGCAGTATGGTAAAATTAAACATGAGCTTTTAAAAGGAGGACATTAAAACCAATTAAAAGCACATTAAAAAATTATGTTTCGTCTTGTAGCACTTGCTTTGCCTTATCCCCATAGAGACTGGGGTCAGGGTGACAAGTGCTCACCACCTCAGAAGCCACAGAGGAGCCCTCTTGTGGCTCTTTTGGTGATGATGTTCTTAGCTTAACATGCAGAAAAGAGACTTCATTAGGAGATTCTAAGGGCCACACATGCTCCAGATCTTCCCCTGAGGAACTATCTGTGCACTGTGCAACCCTCAGCTTTTTCTCCTCTGTTTCAAACAGAGGAGATCTCGCAGTTCTTTTCTGCACTTGAGCACAAGGAAGTGAACACTCTTGTTCACTCCCACTGGGGGAGACGCTAACCTCGGAGACGGTAGCCATCGATGATACAGAGTCTGTCTCCCCCTCCTTTTCCTTTTCCTTTCCATTTTTACTTTCCATTTTGGTGTCCTTATCGTTATCTTTATCATTATTGTTATCATTATCATTATTTTTTTGGATTTTATCCTCCTGTTCGACCGGTAAAACTGATAAAACTGACTCTGCCCCTATTGCTGCCCCACCTTCCATTGGTTTAGAGCCCGAGGCTGGCTGGGAGATGTCAGCTCCCGCCAAAACCTCAGGCTCCGCCCCTTCTCTTTGTTCTGAATGCAGCATGGTTGGTGGGGCGGCCATTTTCTGACTTTTTAACTTGTTTGCAAAGCTTTTTGGGCAATCTCTGTAGAGATGGGATGTTTCACCGCAGAGATTGCACCGCCTGCCACTGGTACACTCCTCAAAAGTGTGCCCAATTGCTTTACACTTCCCACACACAATTACTTGGCAAGATTCAGCCAAATGCCCCATCCTGCCACATTTCCTGCAGAGCTTTGGCATTCCCTGGTAGTGAATGTAGCCTCGGTTTTCTCCCAACACAATCATTGAAGGTATTTGACGAAGGCCCTGGAATCCGCTTGGATCTTCCCATTGTTTAATGGGAACTCTCCAAGCGCAATTCCAAATGCCGTCCTCGTCCAACACCTTGACCGGTTGGCTTCGAACCGTGCAAAATCTACCCAGCCATGTTGCTATATCCTCTCCACTCACTGTTTCATTAAACATCCTGACAACCACTGTTTTAAGTGAATTGTCAGAAAGCTTTTCCACAGAAAAAATGGAGAACTGGGTCTTCTGACTTTCAAACTTCTGCCAAAAATCTTGTAGCAGGGAAGCAGATCTAAAACTCAGGTCAAACCCTTTGTTCAGGGGCAGAGTCATTAAGCAGTTCAAATCGGTTGGTTTAAAATTTAAGGCTTTCTGGATCAGCTTCCTGGAGAAGTCCAGGCGGGACATCCCCAGGAGCTTACCATCAACCTCTTTGAAGTTGAAACGCACGCTGTGGTGCCTCCGCATGCCAGCACGAGCAGCCGACATGGTGGAGGCACCTACAGCTTAAAAACACGCTAAAACACTAAAACCACAATAAATAGCCAATAAATAATTAAAACGCCTTACCTTAAAAAATGCAAATCCTTTACCTCTCAAGGGTTGGGAGCTCACAACACAGGAGTAATTGTGAGCCAGGAAACCTCCAAGAGGCGATCGCTGTCACTGCCCGCGAGGTAAGCCCAAGTATAATACTGATAAGAACAGATTTTCTTTCGAAAAAAAAATTTATTGACAGCGTTTTTCATAACATTTTCATCTCAAAAAACATATCTTTATCTTTTTTTTTTTGTTCACATATTTCCCTTAAAATCTTCCAGAGTAAATGAATAGGGGTAAAACAGAGGATAAATTAAAAGGGTAGGTGTTTTGTGCGAACTTAAAATACAATAATGTTTGTAAAAAGGACACGTTTTTTAAAAACAAAAACATACAATGGGGTAAAAAACAAGGCTGTTCAATAAAAATAAAGGATAAAAAATAAAACCATAAACAATAAAACAATAAAACTGGCCTAAAACTTGTTGGCTAGTCACCATTTTAACTAAGCACTGGACTTAATGGAACTAAAGCAAAACAAAACACACGATAAAACATTTTTGCACACTTTAAAAGACAATAAAACACAGACAATAAACATAAAATTTCCCTTTAAAAAAACTTGGTTCTTGGAAGAAATAAAAGTGTATGTTGTGTCAAGAGTCTTTGTGTGTGCGTGTGTTATGTTAAAAGCGAGAGAGTCCAGGCGCAGCGTTGATAAAAGCGAATAAAACCGGTCCAGTAAAAACAATGTAAAAGCGTAGACGCAATACAAAGAAATAAAATCATTTCTTTGTCCCGGATCGAGGGTGAGTCTTAACAATAAAATCCATTCACACCAACTCTCCAGGCCGGTCACAGTCCATGTGTTTCAGGGGCATAGCGGAGATCCCCCTCCTCTGGCCTGCTGGCCCGCTGTTCCCGTAGCCAGAGTGGTGAGGGTGCATCTACGGGCGGCCAGGTACGGTGGCGGCCGGGACCTCCTCCGTTTGACCCCGGCCCCCTTGGCCTCTTGTTAAGGTACGGTACCCCTGTAGCGTGGTTGCTATCATTCTCTTTGTCCCTTGAAGGGGTACCGTGACCTGCTTCCCCACCAGCAGGTTTCTTGAGACCCAGATGGCATCCTTGATGGCGGTCAGGGTGAGCCAGAGCGCTGTAAAATCCTGTTTTGTCATGTCTTTTACGCCCTGGCCCACCCCATGGATGAAAAGGTGGTAGTCCATCTGGGCCCTCCCCGCCGGCAGGTACTGATGATACAGGGGGCCGGTCCTGGCCCACAGGTCCCGCGCAGCGCCGCACTCCCAGAGCAGGTGCCGCACGGTCTCTGGGCATCCACACCCAGGCCGTGGGCAGGTGGGGTTCTTGGCCATGCCTCTGGAGTGCATAACCGCCCTGACCGGGAGGATCTCATGTGCCACCATCCACAACAGGTCCTTGTGTCCGTTCTGGAGAGCTGGGTGGGCCACGTTTCTCCACACTTGTTGGGCCTCACATAATGTGAGGCCCGGCACCCGACTCACCGTCTCTCGATCCTGAACAAGAGAAATGAGAGCCTTGTGGTTAGTCAAAATGGTGACATCGTTGGTCTCTAAAACATACTTCTTTAAAAATTTCTTTATAAAATCATATTCTTTTGGGAGGTTAAAAGAAACTGGAGTTGTCAAGTCAGGGGTTAAAACTTTTAACGTGCGTAGATACGACCCCATCCAGAACCTTGCCATGGCTGCAGTTTTGTTCTCTCTGGATGGGGTCGTAGCATATTTAAAATGGAGGGCGGTGAAACGGCTCGCTAAGAACAGGTGGGGGTCCGGGAGGCCTTTTCCACCGTTTTCCGGTCTTTTCTTTACAACTTCTCTCTTGATACGTTCCCATTTGGACCCCCACAGGAAGTAAAAGACCGCCCTCTCCAACTCCAGTAAGAACCGTCTCGGTGGGCTAAAAACAGAACAAACAAGTGACATTAAGGGTAAAATCACAGCTTTAAAAATCAAGATTTTGCCCTCAAGTGTCAACCCTCTCAAGCCCCAAAACCCCAGTCTTTGCCTGACTTTCCCTAATATCTCTTTCCAATTTCCCCGACCTCCCCCCTCTCTGTCAAAATTTACTCCTAAAATTTTAAAATGATCGTCGCGTTTAAAAGCTATGTCCAGTTCCCCTGTATTAATGTCGCCCCACGGCCCGAAGAGCTGGGCTTCAGACTTGTTCCTATTTAGTTTTGCCCCTGAGGCCCGACCGAACCAGTCGGTCAGATCCATTGCTCTTCGGGCCGTTAAAAGGTCAGTCGTTAAAAGGGTGACGTCGTCCATATATAAAACACAGGTAGCTGTCAGTCCCCCAGTCCCTGGTAGGTTAAAACCTTTGACCCATTTGTCCCTTCTCAAGATCTGTGCCAGTGGCTCAATACAAGCCACATACAAAAGGGGAGATAAAGGACACCCCTGACGGACTCCGCTGAGTATATTAACAGCTTTGGATAAATGCCCATTTACTAGGATCTTACTGATCAATGAATCATATAATAAGCCCACCCAGGCTATAAACCTCCCTGGAAACCCCATTTTTTCCAAAACCTTTAAGAGGAAATGGTGCGAGATGCGGTCAAAAGCTTTTTCAAAGTCTAAATTTAGGACTATAAGCCGAATATCTCTGTCTCTCGCGTAACAGATGGTGTCTCTGATCAGTACCAATCTGTCCGTGATCTTCCTTCCGGGCACAGCGCAAGCTTGATCCGGGTGAATCACGTCTTCTAAAACGGTCGACATACGCGATGCTAAAATTTTGCTAAAAAGTTTACAATCGAAATTTAAAAGCATGATTGGTCTCCAGTTTTTTAAGTCAAATTTGTCCCCTTTTTTATGAATTAAACTAACTGTCCCTACTCTAAAGCTTTCTGGGAGTTTGTCCAGTGTTTCAAATTCTTTAAAAACGGTCAACAATTCGTGTGCTAAAATATCCCAAAACTTTATATAAAACTCAAGGGGAAGCCCGTCCATACCGGGGGACTTCCCCTTTTTAAACCCTTTTAAAACTTTGTTCAGTTCTAAAAGTGTAAAATCCTGGGATAAAAGCACTTCGGGCGTTTTAACTTTTTTATCTAAAAAAGTTAAAACCTCCTTTAAAATGTCGCCATCTAAAACTTTTGGACTATATAGGTTACTATAAAATTGTTCGACCTCGGTTAAAATCCCTTTTGTGTCTTTAATTTCCCTCCCTCTTGAATCTTTCAAAGTAGTTATTGACCCTCCCTTTGTTATGATTTTTTTGAAAAAATATCTTGTGCACTTTTCCCCCTCTTCTATTTCTTTTTCTTTACTTCTTAAAATCACCCCTATACTTTTATTTTTTGACAAATCTGACATTTCTTTTTTAACTTCTTTAATTTCTTCTGTAAAATCCCAACCACTGTTTAAAAGATTAAAATATCTTTGCAGTCTCTTCTGCAGTCCTCGCCATTGCTGCTGTTTTGTTTTCTCTGGATGGGGTCGTAACGTATCTAAAATGGAGGGCGGTGAAGCGGCTGGCTAAAAACAGGTAGGGGTCCGGGAGGCCTTTTCCGCCATTCTCTGTTTTTTTCTTTACGACTTCCCTTCTCAATCTTTCCCATTTGGACCCCCATATGAAGTAAAACACCGCCCTCTCCAACTCCAGCAGGAAGTGCCTTGGTGGGCTAAAAACAGAACAAACAAGAAGCATTAAGGGTAAAATCACCGCTTTATAAATTAAAATTTTACCCTCTATGGTCAACTGTCTTAAAACCCAAAAGCCCAAACGCTGTCTAACTTTCCCTAAAATGTCATTCCAGTTTTCCCGACCTCCTCCCTCTTTATCAAATTTTACGCCTAAAACTTTAAAATGATCATCCCTTCTAAAAACCATGTCAAGCCCCTCTGGTTGGATGTTGTCCCACGGCCCGAAGAGCTGGGCCTCGGACTTGTTTCTGTTCAGTTTTGCACCCGAGGCCCGACCGAACCAGTCGGTCAAATCCATGGCTCTTCGGGCCGTTGACAGGTCTGAAGTTAAAAGTGTGACGTCATCCATATATAAAAGACATGTTGCTTCCAACCCACCCGTTCCCGGTACTTTAAAACCCGAAATCCATTTGTCCCTTCTCAAGATCTGTGCCAGTGGCTCTATGCAAGCCACATACAGGAGAGGAGATAATGGACACCCTTGACGGACGCCGCTGTGGATATTGACAGCTTTTGATAAATGCCCGTTAACGATGATTTTACTATTTAAGTCCTTGTATAGTAGTCCCACCCAGGCTATAAATTTCCCTGGAAAACCCATTTTTTTCAGAACCTTAAAAAGGAACTGGTGCGAGATTCTGTCAAATGCTTTTTCGAAATCTAGATTTAGGACTACTAGTCGAATATTTCTGTCTCTCGCATAACAGATGGCATCTCTGATCAATAGCAGGCTGTCTGTGATCTTCCTCCCGGGCACAGCGCAAGCTTGATCCGGGTGGATTACGTCTTCTAAAACCATCGACATACGTGTTGCTAAAATTTTGCTAAAAAGTTTACAATCACAGTTTAAAAGTGTAATCGGACGCCAATTCCTGAGGTCGGTTTTGTCACCTTTTTTAAAAAGAAGTAAAACTGTCCCTATTCTAAAACTATCTGGAAGTTTGTTAAAATTTTGAAGTTCGTTAAAAACAGTTAATAAATCTTGTGCTAAAATATCCCAAAATGTGGTGTAAAACTCAGAGGGAAGCCCGTCCGATCCAGGGGACTTCCCCCGTTTAAAATCTTTAAGAGCTTTAAAAATTTCTAAAACCGTAAAATCTTGAGATAAAACAGCACAATTCTTATCAACTTTTTCTTCTAAAAATTCTAAAACTTCCATTAAAATATCATTGTCAATTGTTTTTTCGTCATATAACTTTGAATAAAAGGACTCTACTTCTTTTAAGATACCCTCTGTGGTTTTTATTTCTTCCCCTTGATTTTTTAAAACTGTTATTGCCCCCCCTTTTGAGATTATTTTCTTAAAAAAGTAACATGTACATTTTTCCCCTTCCTCAATTTCTTTTTCTCTACTTCTTAAAATGGCGCCTTTAGCTTGGTTTGTTGTTAAAATTAACATTTCTTTTTTCACTGCTTTAATTTCCTCATTAAAATCAAATCCCTCGTTTAAAAGGTTAAAATATCTTTGTAGTCTTTTTTGCAGCCCCTTCATGCATCTTTTTTCTTTGTTTTTTTTGTCCCTCCCTACTTTTTTAAAAAACTGTGTCGTCCGAGTCTTAACCATCTCCCACCAATGTGCTCGTGTTTCGTAAAAGTCCTGGAGGGTCTGCCATTGGCTGAACTGCTCTCTGTATTCTCCCGCTATTTCTTTGTCTTCTAACAGAGAGCAGTTCAGCTTCCACAGCCCTCCGCCTACCGTCGCACCCGGGGGCAGTGAAAGAGTGCACGACAGCATGTGGTGGTCTGAAAAGAAAAGGGGGGTTAATCTTGCATCGGTTGGTGGGCAGTTGCGTGAAAACACATAGTCAATGCGAGAGGCTCTGGTGCCATCACCACTAAACCAGGTGAATCCCTCCTCTCTCTGATGCGTGGTTCTAAAACAGTCCACTAATTTAAAATCCCTGACCAGTGCCTGCATTAAAACCGATGTTTTATCTAATTTAAAATCCTCCCTTCTTCTCCTGTCTTTATGGGTTAAAACACAGTTAAAATCCCCTGCTAAGATAAAAGGAACCCTCCCCAGCATGTGGGGCTGAAAATCTTCAAAAAGCTCATATCTGTCGTTTTTATCATTAAAACCGTACACATTAAGAACGTTAATATCCCTATCTAAAAAACTCAGGTTGACTAAAATTGCCCGACCGTCTCTTATCACTGTGCTCCCCTTCACCAAGATGTGTGGGTTGTTTATTAAAACCGCTACCCCATCATTTTTATTAAAATTGGAGCCACTCCATATGGAGGGTCCTTGGGTCCACAGTCTCTCCCATTTGGTGTATTTTGTTAAAAAGGGTAGTGCACATTCTTGTATTAAAAGGACGTCGGATCTAAAAGTTTTTAAGAGGGATAATATGCTCTGTGCTCTTACAATGGATTTCACACTTCTCACATTAATGGTTGAAAAGGTGATATCCATGAGCACATGGTTAAAAAGACATGAGCTTAATAAATAACAACATTAAAACTACAAAGACGTCAATTTAAAACTGTTAAAATTTTACTAAAATCATGTCTTTTCTTGTATCACACTCCCCTCCTCGCCAGGAATTATCCCTGTTTTGTTGGGGTGTGTGTCAATCGCCTCCAAGTCCACAGAGATATTCTCTTGTGTCTCTTTTGGCGATGATGATATTAGCTTAACGTGCAAAAAGGACACCTCATTTGGGGATACGAGAGGCCACACACGATTCGAAATAGTTACGGGAGAACTATCCGAATCGTGTGATACTCTCACTTTCTTCTCTGTATCAAACAGAGGAGATCCCGCGGGTCTTTTCTGCACCTGAGCACTTGGGAGTGAAACATTGATTTCACTCCCCTCTGAAGCCTCCACTATCTCCGAGACGGTGAGGAGAGAGGAAGCTGTGTCTTCCTCCTCTTTCCTCTCTAAACTCGCTTCTGATTCGACAGCTTCCCCTCTCCTCACCTCAACCGATTGTGACTCCGCCCCCTTGGCCGCCCCGCCTCCTCCTTCTTGGCCGGTCCCCGAAGCCGACGGCAAACTTTCGTTTCCCGCCAAAACTTCAGGGACCGCCTCCTCCCTTTGTTCCTCGGCCACCACGTTTTGCGGGGCGGCCATTTTGTTGCTTTTCACTCTGTTGGCAAAACTCTTAGGACAATCTCTGAAAAGATGGTTAGTGTCTCCACACAGATTGCACCGCCTGCCATTGGTACACTGCTCAAAGCTGTGCCCAATTTCTCTGCACTTCCCACAAACTAGCTCTTGGCATGCTTCAGCGAGATGCCCATTTTTTCCACACTTCCTGCACAGTTTGGGCATCCCCTGATAATGGATGTAGCCCCTGTTCTCCCCAAGCACAATCATAGAAGGCAGATGTCTCAGGCCCTGGAAGCCCTCGGCGTCTTCCCACTGTTTAATGGGAACACGCCAAGAGCAGTTCCAGATGCCGTCCTCATCTAAAACCTTGACTGGCTGGCCACGAACAGTGCAATATCTACCCAGCCACACGCAGATATCGTCACCAGTTACTGTTTCATTAAACATTCGGACAATCACTGTTTTAAGAGTGTTGTCCGAAAGCTTTTCCACAGTAAACATGGAAAACTGGGCTTTAACCGATTCAAATCTTTGCCAAAAAGCATTGAGCAGAGAAGCAGCCTTAAAACTCAAATCAAATCCTTTGTTCAGGGGCAGAGTCACAATACAGTTCAATTCTTCTGGTTTGAAATCTAAGGCTTTCTGGATAAGCTTCCTGGAGAAGTCCAATCTGGACATCTCCAGGAGCTTTCCATTAACACATTTGAAGTTAAAACGCACGCTGTGGTGCCTCCGCATGCCGGCACGAGCAGCCGACATGGTGGAGGCACCTACAGCTCTCTAAAAACACCAATAAATTTAAAACCAGCAG